TTATTTCTAAATTTTTGCGATTTCTTTACGTTTTTTTTTCTTACTGATCTTTTCTCAATCTATTTCTAACTTTTTGCGATTTTCTTTACATCTATTTTTCTTACTATATCTTCTCTCAATTTATTTTTCTTCTCATTTTTAATAATTCTTTTGTATTTTTAAAAATAATTTATAAATTTAGGTTTATTTTTTTAACAATTCTTTACGTTTTTTTTTCATCATAAAAAATATTCTTTTTATGATTTTTTCATTGTAATCTTTTACATACATTTCTAACCTTTTCAATCTCTTTAAGTCATTTTTAATCTTTATTTTTTTGAGCATTTCTTAATTTTTTTCTTCTCATTTTTGATAATTATTTTTTAAAATTATATTTAATTTTTTTGGTAGACAATATAATTACAATTGCTAAATTAAATTAATCGTTTGGTTATAATGTACCTTTTAAAATAAAATTAGTTTGAACTGTAAAACCAAACGATATGTAAATTAATTAAATATAATCATTTAAATTCTTATTTGCAGTACATATATGCTCGGCAATTATCTTAGAATAATTTGTATATTTAAAATTATATTCTTAACGACATTTTTTTATAATTTGTTATATCCTTCTTCCTATTTTTATAGTCAAAAATTTGAAATAAAATCGTTTGTTACAAATATATTGTAACATGTGTTCTGCAATAGTATCATTAGATATACAAGCATAATTAAATATGCAAACTATAGTTTCAAGCCATAAATAGAATGGACAATGTTTTTATCGCTTTTTAATTTTGAATCTTTATAGGAAAAGTATAATTTGACAATTCTAATAATTAAAATATCTTCTTTAAGTTTTTACCGAAGTTCTGATGGTAGAAATTTTTACTTTTTATTACATTACAATTACAAATAGTATAACCTTAAAAATTTTTTGTTTATTTTATATCGAAAGTATATATTTTTTTTTGTTGGCAATTTTATTTTCTTATTAATTAGTATTATTTTTTCCCGTAAGTCGAGATTTTCACGTTTTTATAAATGTGATAAACAACATTTATAATCCATCGTATTATGTCTAAATTAATATTGTACTATTAATAAATATGAACTTTATAATAATTTTACCGTTTTATATGCGATATAATAAAGTTTATGATTAATCAATTGAATTACGTCTAAATAAATATTAATCACCGTAACAGTTAGTTCTATATCATTAAAAATCTATAATAAAATTGATAAAAATTATTAAAATATAATATTCCAATTTTTATAAAACACCACCTGATTAATTACCACGTGTGATTCCCTTATCATTTATGACGAGCTATGCTAATATTTACGTAAATATGAAATATATTTTTTGAAAATCAATGTTGTAATTTTCATTATTTATTTTGTCGTCTTAAATAAAATTTTAACTTTACCACTATTTCTTTTGTAATCGTTTACATAATGCTTTTAATTTTACTTTGAAATTTTAATATTAATTTTACTAGGTATTATCATTAACCCTAAACTAGAGAATAGTAAATAAAGAAAATATAACGTGCATATAATAAAATCTTTACATTCTATTTTTTTTACAAACAAATGAAAACTATATTCAAATTCATGTATTATGTGATACCCTTTATGGCTATTCATAACATTGTTGCCGAACCTCAGCAAGTAAAAAATGATTCCAATGAAGAACCGGTATTTTTTGATTCTTACAACTTTACGGGCTCAAAAATTAATCAATGCGAGTTCGTCAATGACATTCCATATTTCGGTATAAAATGCACTGATGCAGAATATTTTGATCAAATCGCTAACATCTCGAGATTAATTTTCAAAAATTTATTGAGGGCATTCCCAAATTTTACGTTAATTTTTATGGAAAGTGCTAAATCGTTCGAATTTTATAATCAATATCAGCTGTTGTACTGCATAAAATTCATTTTGGGCGCCCCGAGATTATTTCGACAATTGGTATGTCCTCTCCCCGACCTATTTCCGGACTTGGCCAGTTTAACTAGCTATAATTTTACTAATGGGACATTCTTGGAAGGGCTCCCTCTCACATTTCTCGACTTGTCATTTAGCGAGATCACGTACTTGTGTGACACCACCTTTATTTCACCCTTTTATTCCAAACTAAAAATGCTGATATTGAGCGATAACAAGCTCAAATTTTTGCCCTTGAATCTATTTTCCAGTCTGAACAACTTGGTGGCCCTGTACATTAATCGCAATTATATACAGAGTTTCGAATCTAACGTGATGCGGAAATTGGTTAACCTCGAGATTTTTAGCCTGAATACCAATCCCATCAAATTTATCAGCATGCGCAAAGAGGATCTTGGATCGATGAATAAATTTATTTCCTTATCTTTGTGCAACATAAGCCTGAAGGTGGAACAATTAGAGGCGCTGTACATTCCCCCATCGGTTAAATTGTTCAAATTTAGTCATAATAAGATTGCACTCGTACCAGAGCCACTACTCGCATTTCTGACTACACATGAAAATTCAACTATCCAATTACAGGGTAACCCCATCATGTGTTTAAACATGAATGGGAAGTATTTTGATTGGTTCGCCAAGAATAAGAATCGTCAATTACTTTTTTTGTTATTAGGAGACATCGGTTCTTTCACTAACGATGCCCGATGTTACATTCCGCAATTGTACAAAGGCGCGTTCTTAGTAAATATGTCTCTGGATAAGATTTCTAATAACGATGTATCTACGTGTTACGTAGAGATTCCTTGTGCTTGCTATGTCGATAACAATATCCCGGTTATTTACTGCGCCTTCGCTACTTACTCTTATTTAAGGAATAATTCGAAACTAAATAATGGAAGATGGAGTAATCCTATAATTTTAGGATCCTCCTGGCTTTTACATATAATTCAAATTTTTTTAAGATTAATTATGTGCAAGAAATAAACCTTTTTATCTTGTTATGAAACTTTATGATGAGTTTTTCTATTTATCTTGATTTATTTTTATAAAATTAATAATTAATATGATTTTGTGGATTATTGCTATTTCTAATAGGCTTTAAAAATTTTAAAGCAAGTGTGGTAGTCTTGCACTGATAATTGGTAGATAAAAGTCTTGGAATTTGTAGTTGATAATCTGAGATACAAAAACGACGATAATAGTAATTATTTAAAGAATAAGTTTTATTATTTCTAAAGAAAAAGTTTTTACTATCTCTTTTTTTTCATTAAAAAAATATATATATATATATAAACATAATTTAATTTAACTAAATGTCCAATTTACGTATCACGATCTACAATTATTGCCTTAAACAGTAAACATTTAAATGGACATGTATATTAATGCTTTAGACAATAATATATAAAGAAATATATTATAATATGACATTAACACATTTATAAACATTAAACTTTAAATTGAAATAAAACTGTTGAATAATATAAATTATAATGTGTATTATTCATATTCTATCTTTATTTTAGTTTTATAAATCGTAACGTGTGTTATTCATATTATATCTTTATTTTAGTTTTACTTTCAAATTATATTTTCAGTTTTACTTTAAGTTAACCTTTTTATGTATATTCTAATTTTATTTTTGTAAAAATGTTATATATATCATATGAAAAAGAGAAATAAAACAGATAAAAAATTAACAGTTTTACTTTTCTTCATGATGCCTCGGTTGAGGATGGCAAAAAAAAACTCGCCACTTTGCTATACATTTTTTAAAAAATTTTTCTCTTTCATATCTTTTTATGGTGTGATGTAACATGCAAAAACATTAAAGAAAATAAAAATAAAAAAAATCCTATATAAGGAAGACAATTTAAGGTAAATATAATTTTCGATGTTTTCTTTCAAATTAATAAATATATCATACGAAGTCTCGGTTTATAACATACTTTGGGAATTTACTTACGATTGTGACATCCAATATACAAGAGAACCTACCAATGGTGATGTCTCTTTTGAATTTTTTTCAGTCTAAAAGAGATGCTACATTATTTTAAACAATTGGACGGAAAATATTTCGCTTATAACGATTTAGAGTTCGTACAACTCCGATGTATATTTACAAAAATATAAACGTGTCATTTTTATTTTTAAATGCTTATGTGATATGTTATAAAAATTATCAATAAATGGACATAAAATTACCTGATTTCACACCTTATAAGTTTCCAAAACTTATCATTAGAGTATCAAAGTTGCATAAAAAATGTGATTTTTAGATGATAATCGAATAAAAGAAAAATTAAGAACATCCACCTTAAATGATAAAATAAAATATAAATTTTGTAAAAATACTAATTTAACCTTGAACGAAATGGTTGAGATAGGAAGTAGATTAGATAGAATTAATGTTAAACCAGATATTGATAATATAAGTTATATGAATAACAATAAAAAGTCTGATAAAGATAAAAACTTTAACAATAGAAATAGAAATGACATTAATAATTATTTTAGACCTGATAAAAATTTTAGAAATAATTTTAGAAATAATTTTAGAAATAATTTTAGAAATAATTTTAGAAATAATTATGATAATATGGATAATAATTATAATAGGAATAAAAATAGGAATTATGACAATAATAATAATTCTAGATACTAAGATAGGAATTACGGTAATAATAATTCTAGATATCAAGATAATTATAATAACTATAACTACAACAACTATCGCTATAACAATAATAATCAATCTAATTATGGTAGAAATAATACATGGCATGATAATAATCAAAGAAAACAGATCCAATATGGTGATGGAAATCGTAAAAATTACCAATCCTATAGCAACAATTCAAATAATTATAGAGGTAGCGACAACAGTAATAGAAAGCAAATACAATACAATAACAATGATTATAATATGAATATTGAAGAAATTATTGAAGAGAAAATCGACTCTACAAAGAACAAAGATGATAACGATTTTAATATTAACAACTTATCTGAGGACATGCTTAATGATAAAGATAATGCATTTATGACTACTTTAAAAGTGAATGATATTTTTACAACTATGCAAGTCGACACAAGACACAAGTTCCAAACATACTATCATACCTTATGGTCTGGCTAAAATACTTGGTATTAGAGATGTTAAGAAATCCGAGTTACAACTTCCCGCTTATGACGGAAATTTAATTAAGATCATCGGCATCACACAAGTTAAAGGGACTTATGAAGGTATCTCAAAATATTTACAAGCGGTAGTCGTTGAATCAAGGAAAAATACCTTGTTGGGACGTACATGGATCAACGCTTTCAAAAATATTTTAAATAAATTTATAGCAAATATTGACACTAATTACAAAGATGAAGTAAAAAGATTGATTATAGAGTGTGAATCCAAATTGACTAATGGGCCAATCAACAAAGCAAGTGTCAATTTACATTTAAGAAGAGATGCCCAACCTAAAATTATACCGCCTAGATGTATTCCTTATTCAAAAATTGATCTTGTGAGCAATGAACTTAAAAAATGGATACATGATAAAATTTTTGAGCCGGTGAATGATGTCCGATAGGTAAGTACTATTACCGCCGTCTACAAAGATGATGAGAGCATTAGGCTTTGTGCTGATTTTAAGGACACTATAAACCCAGTTTTAGAAGATTTCAGATACCCTCTACCACGAATCAATGATCTAATAGCTAAACTTTTAGAAGGAAAGAAATTTACGAAGATTAACTTTAAAAATGCTTCTTACAGGTTCCGATAGATAAAAGTTGCAGAAATATTTTAACTATATATACGCATTACCGATTTACTAGACTTCCTTTTGGGCTTACCTCATCTGCAATCTTCCAACAGATCATGGACCAAATCTTCGGTGACATGGAAGACGTCATATTTTATATTGATAATTTACGTATAACTGGGAAAAAAGATGAAGCTCACCTTAATAACATAAAAAAAGTGTTTGATAGAATATCATCGTTTGGGCAAGTACCTAACTTCAACAAAAATGTGTTCTTTAAAAATAAAGGGAGGTTCCTGGGTCATGATATTGACGCCAAGGGGATTCATGCTAATCACGACAAAATTGAAGCAATAATTAATATGCCATAACCAAAATCAGCTGCTGAATTATCAACATTTCTGGGAATGGCTGGCTACTATAGAAAATTTTTGAACAATTTTGCAGAAATAGCCGATCCTCTATATAGAATTGTCAACAACGAAAAATGGGCTTGGAACTTAGAACACTTTAAAAGTTTTAATGATCTTAAGAAGTTGATTAGTCTTCCACCTGCTTTGACATATTTTAACCCTGAATTACCTATAGGGATAGCCACTGACACATCTAAATGTGGTTTAGGAGCTGTATTATTTCATACTGAAAAAGACGGTAAAGAAAAACCTATAGCTTTCGCGTCAAGAATTTTATTAAAATCCGAAATGAACTATACCAATATTGAGCGTGAGGCTCTCGCTATTATGCTCGAAATAAAGAGGTTCCAGGAATATTTAATCGGCACAAAATTTACAATTATTACTGACCATAAACCTCTAGTTCACATCTTTACCAAGGGTCTTAAGGATAATAGTACCATGTCCTTAAGACTCCAGAAGTGGAATATAACCTTAGGAGGATATGATTTTAACATAAAGTATAAAGCCGGTAAATATAATGTTGTTCCTGATTGTCTCTCGAGATTGCCACAAGAATGTCATGATGAAGTTGTTGAAAATATCACTATAATAAATGACTATGGGGATTTACCTATCAATTTAATCAAATTCGTGATGAAACTTTGAAAGATATTGAATTAAAACAAGTCATAAATGATATTAAGAACGACAGGCTTATAATGAACAATTCTATAAAAACATTGAATTGGAATTAAGTATAATTAAGGATTGTCTTTCTTTACATAAGCAACAAAATCATAATTCCGTCTTCTATGAGAAAAAATATAGTACAGTCATTACATGAAGGTCACTTGGGAGCAGAAAAAATCAAATCCTTAGCCAAAGATTACATGTGGTGGTCTGGTATAAATAATGACATAGAAATGGAAGTGAAAAGTTGTGATGATTGTAACATATATCATGACAATCCTAAAAAGATACAAAAGCCATGGATTTCGGCAACTAAACCGGTTGAAAGGATACACATAGATTATGCGGGTCCGTTCTTCACAAGAAATTGGTTGATAATAGTCGATGCCTACAGTAAATTTTCAATTATTGTTCCTGTTAAAAATATTACGACCGATGTTACTTTAAAAGAAATTTTTAAAACTATTTCGCTATATGGAATACCTGAAACTATAGTTACTGATACCGGCCCTAACTTCACAAGTAATAATTTTGAAAAATTTTGCAATGATTATGTTTATGGTATCAAACATGTGCTCACATCTGCTTATCACCAGCAATCCAATGGCCAGGTAGAACGCATGGTGAGAATGTTCAAAACACATATGAAAAGGAATATCAAAATTGACTTAGACATCGCACTTGATAAATTTTATTTAATTACAGAAATACGCGTTCGTAATGATACTCATCGTCTACAGACAGGATTTTCACTGGATGCAAACCCCCTTCAAAAACCTTTGCCTACCCCCCTAAAAAATTCTCGCCTCTTTATCATTATTTTCACCTATTTATTTATTGATACTCATTTCAAAGAATTTATAAAGGATAACTTAAATTAATCTATCTCTACTACCAACTATCGATATTTTGTGAATATAAAGAATTTATTTTTTTAGATAATAAATTCAATTAAAACCTCCATTATTTACAATGATATTATTATGGCATTATGAGCTTGCTGAAATATCTAAATCTTTTAAATTACATTTAAAAGGATAGTTAATAACAATGTGTATGATTGTTTGCAATATATAGATTTTGTCGATGAATTGTATTATAATAATACTATGATAAAAATACTAATTTTTACAGCAATAAATTTTGTCCTATTTCATCTAAAAATTTAATAGATAACCCCCCAAAAAATTTATCTTACCCCCATTAAAGAAGCTTACCCCATACACCCTCAGAGAAAATAGGATGCAAACTGTTCCTACCCCTCCCGCTCATGTAGACGCTGATGATACTGCAGGAGTTACACCTTCTAAGAGAATGTTCAATCGAGATATTAGAGTTAAATGGGACTTATTAAAACCGTTGGAGGAGAAGCAGAACAAAATAAACGTTATACCACGAAATAGAACCTTTAACGTCGGAGATTTTGTTTGGTATAAAGTACAAGATGATGACAAATGGTGTAAAGGCATGGTCACACACAAAGAAAGTGACATGATGTTCCAAATTAAGACTGATTAAGGTATCTTGAGGAGACACTTATAGATTAATTAAGATTAAGAAACTGTTTTAACACACTTATTAATTATGACTCTAAGGATTCTTTTAAGGAGGGGGGTGTGGACAAAAATATAATAATTACTGATAAAAATGATATAACACCGATTTCTAGACTAGTGCAAATTAAACAAAAACCTGCTTAGATTACATAACTTAAAATATAAAAATAAAGTAAATTAAATATTAAACGCTTACACTAAAACGCAAAAAATGAAAAAACGCTAAAAATATTATATAACAATCTTATTGATTTATCATTCTTCATTTATTCTTATATCCAACTTGATGAACTATTATTTTATTCGTAACTTACTGATGATAATAACAATTTTGAAAATTGATAATAATAATGATTGTATATTACAAGCAAGCTACATGACAAATTCACAATTTATAAGGACAACTTACGATAAGGTAACAGGCTTACGATTTAAACAAACTAACGATTAGGACAAGCCAACGATTACTATGACTTATGAAACAACTTGATGGTCAAAACGATAAACCACTTGGACAACAAATTAACTATGACAGCTTAATTGAAATTATGAGAAGGCTTCTTTTAGAAGAAGGAGAATGTTGAATAAAGTAAATTATAATGTGTATTATTCATATTCTATCTTTATTTTAGTTTTATAAATCGTAACGTGTGTTATTCATATTCTATCTTTATTTTAGTTTTATAAATCGTAACGTGTGTTATTCATACTTTATTTCAGTTTTATAAATCGTAACGTGTGTTATTCATATTATATCTTTAATTTAGTTTTACTTTCATATATTTTCATTTTAGTTTTACTTTAAGTTAACCTTTTTATGTATATTCTAATTTTATTTTTGTAAAAATGTTATGTATATGATATGAAAAAGAGAAATAAAACAGATAAAAAAATAATAGTTTTACTTTTCTTCAATTATATAGAATTGGTTATAAAATATTAGGTAAAATGCCACTTTTACAGACATATTTGACAGTTATAGAATATATTAAAGACAATTGTTAAATAAATTTTACTAATTAATGCTTTTAATAATAAATATAAGTAACAATTTGCATTATCTAATTAATTTTAACAAAAAATATTAAAAATTGAATGCAAATTAACCAATATCTATTATTTGTATGACTATGTAATTTAAGATTATTACTCCTGCTATTGAGAGCATTTGATGGCATAATTTAGGTGAGCAATAATGGTCAATTGTCTAGTTGTTTATCATTAAAAGTGGAAGATAATCTTTTAGAAATTTAATATCTCACTTTTTCTCAATTACTTATCTAGCTTCCATAATGTCATCTAAGAGTAACCTCTAATCATCACAGCGTCTACATTACAGGATTTTCACTGGATGCAACTTCCTTCAAAAACCTATTCCTTAAGGGCCTTTAAATTTTAATTGAAGTAAATTAGATTACCGATTAAAATAACAATTATAAAATTGTTGCTTTTATTTTTAAATGAGTCAAAAAATATAATCTTATTTTTTGAAAGTGTTAAAAAAAATGACTAAACTGAAAATGGGCATCATAACTCTAAAAATAATTATATAAACTTCAAATTTTTTTCGTTTATGTTTATATAAATTAGTTTACACAAAATAAGTCAAAAATAATAATATATTTTTTTTTTTAAATTCAAGAATAACTAACATGAGAATGGATAATCATTATACAATTTCTTTATTTAGTATGTATATGTAAATCAAGTATTCTATCACATGACAAATATTATAAAACTGAATTATTGATTTGTATATGACATTTATAACATTAATAATATATATAATATATCTCATTTATAACATATCTCCACACATATGATCTTACAACTCCTCAATCAGCCGATTTGTAGGTTTCCTAGCTCTTTGTGATTTCCGCGTTTCTAGTTTTCCGTTATCTTTCACATTTTCTAAAATCTCAGCTATATCCGACTCTCTATTTTTTTCCTCTCTCTCTGACTCCATATTTTCTCCATTTTCTTCCTCTCTCTCTGACTCCATATTTTCTTTATTTTCTTCCATTGGCCCAGACTTCTCCATTTCTTTAGCTACCTCCCTTTTTCGAAGTTGATCCGCATGCTTTCGTAACATTCTATCCTTGCTTTTTACCAAATAAGAATATCTACCAGTTCTGAATTTTATAACTCCTTCTCTCCAACCTGTTCATTATGCACCCATATCGCTTATGCAATCTCAAATTCCCTCATTTGACTATGTTCATCATGCGCTGCTTTTTGTCGTATATTCGATCCTTCCATTTCATACCAAACATTTGGATGTAACCAATTTAATCCCGTTTTTAAATTTCGCCCCAATAATAACTTTGCCGGTGAACGTCCATTTGATTGATGTTCACCCATTCTATATGCTATCAAAACTTCTCCCATGGCTTCCTCAGGTTCCCTGATGTCTTTCCTAGTTGCAAAATATCGACTCTTGAGGGTTCGTATCATTCTTTCCGCTAAACCGTTCGTTTTTGGATGGTACGGTGTTGTATGTATCAATTTAATATTTTTCTCGAAACAAATTTTTCGAAATTCTCCAGAAATAAATTGAGGTCCATTATCTGATACAATTTATTTTGGTGTACCAAACCGTGCGAATCATTTCCTTAAAGCCCTGATTATTGTCAGGACGTGGTCTCTCTCATTAACTCAACCTCAACCCATTTAGTATGTGGATCAACTCCAATTAACCATGAATACGAATCAATAGGCCCCGCGAAATCCAAATGAATTCGTTCCCATGGAATATTAGATATGTTCTACGAATATAAAGGAACCTCTATAATATTCGACCGGTTACTTTGACATGGCATACATTGACGAACATATTGTTCAATGTCTTTATCGCAATTAGGCCCCCAACAATACATTCTAAAAATTGATTTCATAGCATTTATTCCTGGATGTCCTCTGTGTATAATCATTAATATTGATTTCCTCAAAACGGTTGGAATTACCAACTTCCCATTCCATTCAATAACATCATGATCTACTGACAATTCCTCTCTACGATTATAAAAACAAAGTAACCGCATCAAACTCCACCCATCCACGCTCAATGTTTTTAATTATTTTTTTAAACAAGCTATCATTCCTTGTTTCCTTTTGGAGTTCAACTTGACTAATATTTATTTCGTGATATTTATAGCTCTGATTTTTAACGCATTTTTTCGATCGTTATTTGATTCTATGCCCTCTACTGGCAGTCTAGATAATGTATCAGCTACTTTATTATCTTTTCCAGGAACATATTCAATATCAAAATCATATGCGGACATTTTACAAGCCCAGCGTGTTAATCGACTATTGGATATTTTTGGTAGTTCCCGTTTATCACCAACTAATTTTTCCAAAGGTTTATGATCTGTTCGCAATATAAATTTTCGACCAAAAATGAAAGTACGAAATTTTTCC